ACACAAGAATTTCAAGTACTGTATTAGGCCTTTCCAACTCGCCCCTAAGGAGGACCTTGGGAAGGAGATTGAAGTATAGCTCCTTTATTTATTTATTAATTTTTTTATTTATTTACCATGTAAGTACAAAATTCAATACTGAATTTAAAGGACTACTGCCGCCCAGTGGACAAATCACTTTAGTATCTGGTGGATATCTATAATTAAATTTATACTTGTCAACTAGATTAGTGATGTATCCAGTGGGTGGTAGTTTCAACCTTTTGAGTAACTGCTGTCAGATCTCTAACTAAGCCATATTACACCTTACTTTTAATCTCTCAGCTTTCCTTTGGGCTAATGTTTGTTGCACTTCTTCCCTATGTGATGTCTGAAAGTTAGAGAAAGAAAAAAAAAAAAAGAAACTTCATTTTATTAAGCTGATCTGGGTTATCACAAGCCTGTGGGGAGCAGACACTTTTTTTGGCTGTTGTTTCACCTGTACTTTCTCAGTGGGTGAAACATTAAGGGCCGAAAAGCATCTGCTCCCCACAGACTAGATTATTGTAGGACAGTCCATCACATCTTTCCTTGGAAACCAGCTGTCTTGTAAAGAGATTTTTATCACAAGTTACAAAGAAAGGGAAAAACCTCTGCTTCTCTCCATCTGACCTAGCACCATAGGAAAACAACCTGTCTTGAGAAGACATCTCAATTAGGCAGATGGCTCAGGTGCAGGACACCCTGCAAACTAGTTTCGGCTCTATTCTCCAGAAAGAATACACTGGGTTCCAGCTGAAGTTATTTTTTTCTTGGGAGCATTTTCAAACTGTGAGCACGGTTTATTCACCTTAGGTGTTTCTAGAACAATGTTTGTGTACTTTTGCGCTTGTTTTGATACATTGTCAGAAATCTGACAGCTCGGTCGACAGGAAACCTTAGGGGAATTGGAGGTGGAAATATTCAAATTCCAGAGACGTAGTTGGAAGCTCTACTTCCTTTTCCCGCCCCACTGCCAGAGCACCCTGGAAAGCTTACTCACAGGCTAAATTGAACCCAGTGAAATTCTCTCCATCTCCCAGCATAACGATTGGGCTGATTTAGCAACAGAACGGGAACGTCAGTTGATGACGGCGTGCGCAAATCAAACAACTGTCTTGACCAATAGCACAGCCGCAAATTGGGCACCAGAAGTCGACTTTAGTCCTCACCGCGCGTCAAATGACGTTCCCGTTCTGTTGCTAAATCAGCCTAACATTTTGCTAAACATTTCAACAACAAGTTTATCAATTTCAGAGCTGTTCATAAATATCATTTAACCATTTAACTGACCATTTTCTGTATGTATTCTGCCTCCTCTCTCTCTTTCCTTTTCTTCGCGTCTTCCAGATGTCTCTGAAGTCCTAAAAAATTTCCATCATTGACTACAGAACGACTACTTTGATCAGAAAGTGAGCTTACAAGTACTCTGAGAGAAGTGACGAAAAGTAGAGTATAAAGGATGTTCTTCTACAAACAACTTACTTGGATTAGTTTCTTCTTCTGTTGACTCTAATTTAGTCCCAGTGGCATTATTTACCAATAAAATATTTTCTGAAGGAAAACAACGAATTTCTATCAGAACGGTTTCATCAAAACGTGCATGTAAACAGCTGTCAGCTACAGCGATATCTCGAACGCTATTAAAAGTTTACGCTTAAATTTACAAACCGTTATGAATTACAGACGCTGTTGGCAAGCGATGATTTAGTCCACTGACAAATAATGTAGACTTTGGCGCTGGAGGGGGTTGTATTGACTTCCAAAAAGACTTGGCAAGCTCGATAGTTTCAGCTGAGCTGCCGGAAAATGTTACTTCGTTCGCCATCTTGTTTATGTCGTTTCCAGGGACATGTCAGGGCGAACGGTTGCACAGGATACCAATCTTAACACCGACAAAACTTCAGTCAATGTTATGGGGAAATCTTGCAGAATGCTAAAATGTCTGTCATAACAAGGTGTCAATACTAAGCAGGTGTCTGTAAAGTAGGGTTTTGACTCTGGCGGCGCGGGGGGTACTCGCTTATATAAGCCATATCACGGTATGTACCGCCCCAAAGGGTAGGGTTTTTGCACTGCTTTGGTCCGAAAACGGGTATAGATTTTGCCCATTTTGGTCTAGAAACGGGTATGATTTACGAGGGAACTACGATTGTGTATCAATGTGTTTGTCGTTTCAATTCCAAATGAATAAGAAAGAAATTGCAACATGCAAATTCGAAAATAATGGATGAATTTTAAGAAATCTTTTTGTTGCTATGATGGCATAAGTTCTGTTTTATGTAAACAAGTAATGTTGTGTTTTGTGACCACCTCCAGGTCTGAAAGCGGGTATGGATTTTAGAGGCCAGGTCTGAAAAAGGTGTGGAAAATGACATTTTTTTTGACTGAAATAGGGTCAAGATTAAGAGAACCAGGCAGAACACCCCCACTAAGAATTCCCAGGAGTACCCCCCAGGGTCTGACTGTACTTTGCTTAACCCATTTACTCAAGGAAATTTTGCTAATCAGGCCATTTTCTGGATGTTGTTTAGCTAAAACAAACCAAAAGTGCCCAAAATATTGCCTACTAGCCAAGAACTTTGTGGCCTAATCCTGTTCTTGATACTAACTTGTAAAGTGTTACTGTCCACACCATATTGTTAAAATATCAATGAAAATAGGCTGTTTAAGGAGTATTCATAACTTTATTATACTGAATTATCACAGATATCCAAGACATCTGGAAGTAATGTAACACATTTCATTGTACATTGTACTCACTATATGTCTTGTCACTGGCTAAGAGCCTACAGCTAATTTTGGAAATCAGCGCAAGCGTGTGCAATGCATGATTTCCTATAACAATATCAATTCAGGTTTCATGTGATGGTGTGTTTGTTGTTATTTTCTTCAAAACAATGTATAATATATAAAACAATTATTGTTTTTAGATTCGGTTTTTGTGATACCCTAAATAATCAAGGTCTTGGTAAGTGTTATCAGCAACAGCCTTTGGCTTGGCTGATAACACTTACCTCGACCTTGATTATTCTGGATATCACAAAGCCTCATCCAATAATAAAAAAATTATTGTTTAGTACATAATAACAAAATCCTTGCTATACATAATCTATATTTGGACATTTTCACAAACAACTTGGATCTTCATGTTGAGAGAACCCATTGTGGATATCCCATGAGAAACCAAAGAGGTGACAAAATTTTTTACTAAAAAATATTCATTAACCCTTTAAGTCCCCATAGTGACCAACATCAATTTTCTCCTAATAATATCCATACAATGTCAAGAGATTAGGTTATGAGAATTAACAAAATGATCGCATAAGGGAAAATGCTTTGATCTTTATCAAATTCTCTCAACTCATTCTTTAAGGAAATGTATGGAGATTAGTTTGGAGAATTTGTATGTGGATATTGGGGCTTAAAAGGGTTAAAGTGACACTGGTTCCACCTCTCAAAATAATACAGCTTTTTTTCTAATAAATAAATTTGTGATGAGCAACAGTTTTTCATAATATTTAACACTTGTCTCTAAGAGATTCAATTTTACTTGATGTTTCATCGGTCTTGTCAAGCAAAACCTGCAAAAAAAGGAAGACTGGCTGTTAAGAAATATTATCACAAAAAGTTTTGTGATCTAAGGGGGGTGCTTAAATGACACCAGCGAAAATTTTTTACTTCTGTGGGTTGATTCTGGTTCCCAGCACCACCATAAAACGTAATGCTAGAAAAAGTCATTCTGGCTTGAGTTCTTCTCAGTTTTTGTACAGGAGCAAAAAAATCATTGTGGTGCAGAACTTTGCAGCATTACCATAAAGTTCCGAAAGTAATGACCCCTCAACATTAGCAAACCTCCAAAAGTAGCGATAAAATGTCACAGGTGTTAGCAAATCCCAAAAGTAGTGATCCCCCCGAAAATAACGACCCTCTGAAAGTAGAGACATAAAAACTAATTTCCCTTTTTGCAAAAAAAAAAACAATGGATATGATCGATATCCTGGACAAATTAAATGCCATACTGATCCGAAGTTTATTAATAATGATTATTTGACATTCCTATTCATAACCCTTAAAGTACAGGATATACATTACCTTTTTTCAAAAAGTATTCCTTTCACATTTTTTGTAATTTTATTTTTTGAAGTGCCAATGTGGAGTACACATTTTTAGCCATCCAAAAGTAACGACCCCCCAAAAGTAGTGAGCTTCCAAAAAGGGGCAATAGCAGAAGAGTGCTAAATCCGAAAGGGATGAGGGTCGTTATTTTCGAAACTTCACCGTATAAGGTAAACAAAGAACTGACAGATTGGAATTGGAAGTGCATGACACCGTATAACTATCGTTAATCCAAGATGGTGTCAGGTGTGATGAGGGTAGTTTGGTGTTGGGGTAGGGCAATAATATTGTGCACTGTGGGGCATCCCTGGGTACCTGGGGGTAGTCATTTGGGTCATAAAAAATGCACTACAAATCCAACCACACAATGTCTCCTCTGGGTCTCCAAGCATGAATTATGAGAGGACCATATAATTTTATTCCTTACCTGAATTCTCTGTACCAAAGATTTCTTTTTCCCCTTGGCTTGTTGTAAACTGGCATCTATGATCTGAATGATATTAAAAAAAAAAAAATCTTTAAACTCCCCCAACAGAGGGAACTGGAAATTCTTGGTGAAGGTCTGGGCTCTTAAAAACCAAAACATTAAAAGGATTGTGTAAAACTACATTGGAAATTGCTAGGGTGCTTAAATAGAAGTAAAACGCAGTCTTTGGTGTGAACAGAAAATAAGTCTTCAACTTACTAATGCATCTAAGCTCTCAAGGGTTTTCATGAATTCCTCATTGATTCCCTTAAGCTTCCTAGACAGCTTCTCTAGAGCCTTAGGTATCAATTCTGCCTGAAGATATCCCTGTAAAAATTATAGAAAAAAAGTTCTGTTCAGTGAATAATACACTTGTAAT